GCTCCTGCGGCGGGGCCGCAGCGGGGGCGGGGCCGGCGGCGTCCGGCACTGGACAGGGATGGCCCCTTCCTCCCCTGCCCCGGGGCTTCTCGCGGCCCTTCGCCCCAGTCTTTCCCCTGTCGCCTCACCCCTTCGGGCCTCTCCCCTTCCACCCTGCAGAAGCGAAGAGTCGGGGACCTGCTGGCTAGTTACATCCCCGAGGACGAGGCGCTGATGCTACGGGATGGACGGTGCGGGCGGAGCGGGTCCCGCCTGGGGCTGCTGCGCTAGACTGGCCGCGAGCTGCCGTCCGCCGCGACGGCGGGGGAGTCTCGCGCTCGCCGCTCTGGGCGCTTGAGGGGCCGAGCCGTGGGAAGTGCCGGGAGGCGTGGGACCAGCGGGGACGCCCCGGCGCCCCAGACCCGTTATCTTTTTGTGCTCTTCTCCAGCTTTGCTTGTGCCATTTGTCCCCACCGACCTGTGCTGGACACCTTGGCCATGCTGACTGCCCACCGTGGGGGCAAAAAGCATCTGTCCAGTAAGTGTGGGGGCAGGCAGGAGGCAGAGGACAACCTGACGATTCTTGTGCTCTTAATTCTCCCCTTTCTTTACAGGCCTGCAGCTTTTCTACGGTAAAAAGCGGTCCGGAAAGGGGGTGGATCAGAACCCAAGACAGCAGAATGAGCTGACACCCGACGAGGCCAAAGCTGAGGTGATCGGAGGAGGGAGGGTGTGTTCCAGGCACGGTTTCACTGCTCTCCTGTGGCCGGAAAGTGCCCACTCTCTGACTCTGAAGCCACCCCTCTGCCTCCCATCTGCGCACCAGGCTCCTCTGTTGACCCGGACCCGGCTCATCACCCAGAACGCTCTGCACAGAGCTCCGCACTATAGCAGCTGCTGCCGGCGAAAGCCCAGGTGTGCTGGGCAGGGAAGCCAGGGGCAGGGCGGGGCAGGAGGCGGACGGCTCTGAAGCGTTCCCCGACATTCCAGGGTTGCTAGTGTGCTGGACGTGGTAGCTGGTATTTCAGGGATTGTTTTTATTTATTGATGCACACAAGAGCTGGGGTGCAGACCATAGTTGGGGGGAGAAGAACTCCCCAGAGACAGAGTGGGGAGCGGGACAGGCGGATCCACTGACAGCCACTGCTGAGGGGCAGCGGGGAGACAAGAGGGGTCTGTTGTGCCCTGGGGGTCCCTCCCTGGCCGGGCATCGAACCCAGGCTGCAGTGGCTAGGGGCCACTTCACAGTGCTGAGGCTTAACCCCTGTGCCACCAGGGGGGCCCCCGAGTTTTTAAGCTTTGAAAAAGTTTGGGAAATAGAACTCTTGTAGTTCTACGAAGAATGGTGATACCTGTGCGTGTTAAGGGCTCTACGACCTTTGATTATTTCTTTTAAGACTTAAAAACCTGTTTGACCCCGCCTTTTCTAAGTCCATTGATTCCGAAGTCCACGGATGCAGGGTGACCTTTGAGGAGCACAGGGTCCCTGGTGTGGAGGGGGCGTCCCGGAGCGCCCTTTCCTCTGCGCCTTCACAGGCCCGACTCTCCTCTGCCCAGGCCAGAGGCCCCCCGGCCCGCTGCCTCCCGTCCCGCTGGGACACCGCGCGAGGTTGACCGCCCAAGTGAGAAGAGCCGCGGGCTCGCCGAGGCCGTGGCTGGCCCACAGGCTGCGGAGTTGGCCGCCGCGCCGCCCCCTGTGCCGCTGAGCCCCGCGAGGAGGCGGGTGCTGGACCACTTCCTCAGCCTGCGGAGGTGGGTGGCAGCGCCGCGTCTCCCCTCGCGAGCCGCCTCCATTCGGACCTGCTCCTGGCCCGCTACTTCGTCGACCTCCTCCCTGATCCGTGCTTTGTTTCTCTGACATTCCAGCTCTGGTTGGATCCCAGACGGACAAGGCCGATGGGTGAAGGACGAAAATGTTGAGTTTGACTCCGACGAGGAAGAGCCCCCCGGGCTCCCTGAGGACTGACCCCGCTCTCCTCCCCCACCCGGTTGGTCAATAAACAGCCGGCGCCGGGCACCTCACGCTGCTGTGTCCGCTTCCTTGCCCCTCTCAGGCCTCCAGCCTGTTGGTCCTCTGCCGGCCGGCCGGTCCTTCCTGCCCTGTGCACGCTGCCCTACCTCTGCCCCTCCCCCGCCCCACAGCCGTGCCAAGCCAGCTGCTGGCAGCCCAGCGCCCTACTAACAGCCCGCCAGAGGGAGGCCTCTGCCTCGGAGCGGCGGCCCGCCGCGGGCGCTCTGCGCAGGGCCTGGGCGGGCGCGGGGCCTGGCCATGTCTGGGAAGGGGCCTGGACTGAGCGCCCCTGGAGGGAGAGACTGGGGCTCCAAGGGAGCCCCACCTCCTCCTAGCAACCTGACCCTCCTGCCTGCTGATCCCTAGAGTATAAATAAGCCCCAGGAGCTGGCAGCGGCCCTGGGGGTGAGCGCCAAGATTCCCGCCCCAAAGCCCAAGCGAGGAGGAGGCAGAGTGGGCGGCAGGGCCTTTATTACAGGAAAGGGGGGCAGGAAGGGTGAGCGCCGGGCGCCGCTGCAGCTGGGAAGGCAGAGGGACTTTAGCTCTTTTTTTGCTGGCGACCTGTGAGAGGGAGCGTGAGCAGTTTATTCCGTCAGGCCGCAGCGGGTGCTTTCTCCTAGTTCCTTGGCCAGACTCGGGAGTACCATCCTGAGCCACCACACGCCCCGGGCGGGGTCACCCAGGAGGAGGTGCCCCGGCAAGTGAAAGCAGCGCCCGGGATGGCCTCCCTGGCTTCCCTGCTGGCCGGAGCCTCCTCCCTCCTGTCTGTCCTGACTGACCACGGACTTCTGGGGCAAGACTGCTGTGGCGCACCCCAGCTTTCAGGGGGGCCCACCGGCGTCCAGACCCCTCGCCACCCTGCGGGACTCACGGAGCTCATTGTTCCGCGTCATGGCCTGGGCGGCGCGCGCGCGTGGCCCCTGCTGTGTGAAGTGGTAGCCGAAGCGGACGATGGAGGGACACTGTTCGAGCACGGTGGCCATCTCCATCTCCACTGCATCACCTGGCCACTGTCGCTGCAGGGGAGGGGCCCGCCGTCAGCCCCTCTCTGTGGACGATGCATCCTGACCGTCCTTCCCGTCCTGACCATCCTGTCCTGTCCTGATCATCCTGACCCATCCTGACCATCCTGTCCTGTCCTGATCGTCCCCGTCCCAACCACAACACCTTGGGGAAGCCAAAGAGACACGTGTCTCTGGAGTGGACAGTGGGACGCGCTGACCGCGCTCTGGCGCACAGAGAAGCCAGGAACTCCCAGCCGCGCTGCCCCGGGCAGCGGCAGCCGCGAGCCCCGCTGAGGGCGGAGGCCGAAGCCGCAGACCTGGTTGTCCACGCGGAGCTCGGTGAGTGTGGCGTTTTCCCGAACCGCCTTCAGCACGGCCATGAGCCCCGCGCTGCTGATGAAGTTGGACTCGATGTTCAGGCTCCGGAGGCTGCGGTTCTCTCGCAGCATGTCGGCCACCGCCTGCGGGGCGGGTGGGGTTGGGGCGGCGAGGCAGCAGGGGCCGCAGGGGAGCCGCCCTTTGACCACAGTGCTGGGACAGGAGGTGGGGGGCGTGCACCCTGCGGTTGGGGCGCTAGGGGAGGCTGGCCTGGGAGGCTCGGAGCTCGGAGCTGGGGGGCTGAGGGAAGCGCTTCATCGGGGCCACCCCGAGAGCGTGATGGGAGCGCCCCGGCATGACCCTTGGTGCCAGCGCTGCGGGGTGCGGCCGGGGGTGCTGGCCTAGCCTTACACTGGCGATGGGGTCGCCGCTCTTTGTGGCCACCAGGCTGAAGCTGCGGACGTGGGTGTTGGTCTTCATGGCCTGGCACAGCTCCGTGAGCACGGGCATCGGGATGTCCTGCAGGCGGGAGAGGGCGGAGGCTCGGCGCCATCGCCGTCTCCTGTCTGGACGGGGTGGGGGGGTCGAGTACCTGTATGTTGTTGAGGTTCACCTCCTCCAGCTCCTTGTCATTGCTGCGAACACTCTTCAGGATCTCCTCGATGTTGGTGGGGTTCGGGGGCTCGTCTGGCACTGGCTTATACTTGTCCGGCTGCACCACACCTGGTGGCGAGGGCAGGAAGGAGACCTCAGCGTGCCCGCCGGCCCCTCTCCCGGCCGCCCGCGCGGCGCCCCCGGGCCCGGCCGCCGGCCGCACTCACTGCTGATGCCTTCCGTGTTGCAGATCTCGCCGCTGCAGATGGCGTCGTAGTACTGCTTGTTGCTCATCAGCGTGTACATGCCCAGGATGGCTGCGCGGGGAGGGCGGTGGGAGGCTCCGCCCAGGGCCCGCCGCCCGCCCCAGCCCCGGGGTCCCTGCTCTGACCCGTCAGGGCAGCGCCGCTCGGGCCCTGAGCGCCACGGCAGGGCGAGGGACCTGCCGGGCTCCCCGTCTCCAGCCGAACCGCCCCATTCTGAGCTTCCCCATCTGTGAAATCGTCCTCGAGACTTACTGAGTCTGAGAGGGAGACAGCGCCCTCGAGAAAGGCAAGTTAAAGCCACGACCTGGCGCCCGCCCCGGCGCGTCCCCCGCGGTGGTCCCAGGCCCTGCGCGCCCTGTCCTTGCCCGGGGCTGCCCACCTGCGATGTCACACATCTCGGCGTCCGTGGCCTGGGCCAGCGCCGCCTCCAGCTCGGGCTCCAGCGTGATCTGCTCCTGCGCTGGGATCTCCCTCTTGGGCTGAATAAAGGGCTTCCCTGGCGGGGGGCGACAGGCTCAGGCCGCGGCGTCCCCCAAGGCCCCGGGCCTGATGTCCCTTGTTCTCCAGGGGTGGGCTGCTGGGCACTGGGACTCTGAGCCCGTGTGAGGACTCGAGCCTGAGCTGGTGTGCACGGGCCAGGCGGTGGGGCCCTCGGCTGGCTGCCGGGAGCTGGAGGCGGGGAGGGCGGCCGGGGCGGGAGCGTGTGGGAGTCGGGGCTCCGTACCCTTCTTCTCGCCTGTGAAGGGCACCAAGTCCTCCCGCTCCTTGACCTCCAGGGCCTGCTGCTCCAGGTACTGCAGCAAGGCCTCTCGGTCCAGGGGTCCCGTTGGGCTCTTTTTGGTCTGATCTCGTTGTCTTAGTCCAGCTGGCAGGAGCATGTTCTTAGGGGTGAGTTTTGGGGCGCAAGTCAGACCGCCCCTCTGAACTGGGGCACCTGCAGGGTTCCCCAGAACATCTCCAGACACTTCCCCTGGCCCTCGTGGGACTCAAGGTCCCGGTGCTGACACAGGTCTCGGCGTCTGGGACCAGCCCTGCGAGAGCCTGGCCGCGCCGCCTGGCGGACGCCCTACCTCGGGGTCCATCTCCTGAAGCTCGCAGTCCAGCTGCTCCAGCTCCTCGGGGCTCAAGCTCCTGAGGATCTCGTCTTCGTCTATGTCTCTGTACTTCTCCAGCTCCTTCTGGTACGACGACATGATGGTCCCCGCCCCTCCCCGTGTGGGGCGTGGCGCCTGAGGGGCGTCGGGGGGTGTTGGACAGCGGCGGGACTGGGGGGGTGCTTGGCAGGGCCAGGAACTGGACGCCTGGGCTGGAGTCTAGCTGGGCACGAAGACAGGGACGGTCGGGTTGAAGCCGGAGTCCCCTCGCGTGCTCCCAGTTCCGGACGCGTCTGCGCCGCATTCGCCTCCCCGGGGTGTGATGGAGCAGTGGTGGCGGCCCCTCCCCTCCGCCCTCGCGGGTCGGTGGTGCCTCTTGCCCTTGCACAGCTGCCGGGGGGCCCTGCCAACAGCTGGCCCCGTGCCCGGGTCCCGTGGGAAGGAAGGGGGGCAGGCAGAGGTCTTGGGGAAATTCCCCCCCGCTGCCCCGAAGTGCAGCCCGCTGTAGCGAGGCGAACAAGGCCTGCTCTTTGCGTGCTGACGCCTGGACCCCAAGGGAGGGCTCCCCTCAGGGGAGCCGGGGCACGCCCGCGGGAGAAGGGTTTGGCCTCCGGGGAGCACTGAGCCCCTAGTCCGTCCCTGGCTCGGGGGGCTGGTGACCCAGGATCCGCGTGGGGCAGGCCCCAGCGGAGCCTCCCTTCTACGCGGGGCAGCCCCTTGGGGTGTGACCCCGAGCTGCACGGCACACCGCGCCGGTCGAGCGGCTACTCCCGTGTCAGCGGTGGTTTTGGACGGGACGACTGGGCCGTCCCTGCCGTGGGCGCCGCTCGCCGCACCCAGGGGCCTGCGCCAAGGCCCTGCGGTCCCCGGTCCCCACGTACCAGTCGTACCAGTCGCCAGTCCGAGCCTCCCTGCTTGCCGCCCCTGGGCTGCGCTGGGCTGCTGGAGCCCTGACAGCAGGAGGAGCCGCAGAGCGGGTGGGGGAGCAGGTGGGGGAGCAGTGAGCTCAGCATTTTATTATTTTAGCTCTGGCCAGGTGGGGGGGTGGGAGGTCACATATACACGGCTGCGCCCGCCAGCCCGGCGCCTCTAGTGGCCGCGCGTGGCCACGGCACCTGCCTGCCCGCAGCCGAGGCGCCCAGCGCTGGAGCGCCTGGCGTGCCCACGGCTTTGGCGCCCAGGGCGTCCGAGCAGTGAATCTGAGGAGACAAGGTGAACCCAACGGTTCTGTCTGGGTGTGTCACTTTAGGTGTCCAAAATCCAGCTGGAGGACTGCTGTGAGAATTCGGAAAGGGCGGCCCCCTCGGCCAGGGGTGACCGGGGCCCAGCAGCCCTCTCTGGCTCCCCGCCGCCCCTTAGCAGTGGGTGTCAGTGAATCCGCCTGCTCTGCTCCCCACTCTTTCTCTGGAGTCCTCTCGTCCCCCACACCTCTGGCCTGCACCCCGTTCTACGCAAAGATAAGTGACTTTTAAAAATCACACTATAGAAGGGCCGCTCCTCAGGAACGCTAGCAAACAGGTCTGGCCGTGCCGAGACACACGCCTGCTCCCGGTCTGAGCAGACACCAGACGGGGGATCTCTCTATTTTATTAGGTTAAAAAACACGAATAAAACCAGTAGGAGCGAGGGGCCGGGCAGGGAAGCTGTGGCAATGGCTGGCGGGACCAGAGCCAGTGGGGCAGGAGCAGGGGTCTGAGGACTGGGCTTCTCCTCACTTGATGACGATCTTCTGGCGCAGCGCCCGGGGCCCGGAGCCCGGGAGGGGCTCAGGCGGCGGTGGGCCAGGGCCCAGGGCCGAGGCGGCGGGCGGCAGCCCGTGGGCAGTGATGTACTTCTTGTAGGCCTCGCGGATGATCTTGAAGGCCCGGGCGGTGGCGTAGGGGATGTCTGTGACGGGGTCTCGGTAGAGGGCTGGGCGGTGCGTCACTGGGCAGACCTCCCGGACAGGGACCTTTGGGGGCCGCCCTTGGGGGAACCATTCCTCAAAAGTGGCATCATCACTGAAAGTGATGAAGGTTCGTGAGCAGCGAGCAGGAGGGACGACGGGCCCGGCCCCAGCACGAGGCGTCAACGCTGAAGCCGCAGGCGCAGGATCGAGTCTGAGAGAGAGAAAACAGCTGAGGAGCGAAAACAGGCAAGTTCGGAACAGGCCCGCCGGGCGGCCCGGTGGCGCAGCGGGCTGAAGCGCGGCTCTGACCCCCGCCAGAGGGACCCCGGGCCGCAGCAGACTCCGCCTGTCTCCCCGCTGCCCCTCAGCAGTGGGCTTCAGTTCATCTGCCTGCTCTGCTCTGCGCCCCACTCTGCTCTCTCTGGGGAATCCCCTCACCCCTGCACCTCTGGCCTGGACCCCAGTTCTGTATGCATGAATTAAAAAAGTGTGATGAGAAATGTTCCCTCTTCATAGATTTAAAAAGAGAAAAGGACCAGCAGGTGAGGAGCGGGCGGAGGAAGAGGGCCGGGAACCTTCTGGGCATCGGTCAGCAGTGGGCAGGATGAGAAGCAGAGGGGACAGATGAGACGGCGGAGGCCGGAGCTGGCTGAGGAGAGCGGGCGCCACGGGGCGCAACGTGGGAGCGAGGCCCCCGAGGCTCACCCTTCCACGTCGACGTTCTCGTCCTTGGGGCCCAGGTCCCCCACAAGCGGCACAGTCACTGAGTGGTAGGTGATCACGGGCCCCGGGCACTTCCGCTTTTTGTGAACCTGCTTCTTCTTGTCAGCCTCGAGGCGCTCGTACGTCTCTTCAGGGTCAGAGGAAGGAGGGGGCCGGGGTCAGGCCCTTCCCACCCGTGTCGCACGCCCTCGCCGGCCGGCATCTGCCCACCCACGCCGGCCGGGAGGCCTCCAAGCCCGGCCCCCCCGGGGGTCAGCTTTCTCGGCCCTGCTCTCCCATCTCAAGCCCACCCACTGCCTCAGAGGGGGAACTTGGGGCGTCACTGTCACTTCCTCGCCAGTGTCTCGCGACTGTCAGTCCTGCCCGGACCCCGCCTCGCCCCGCTCTGTCGTTCACCCTCCCAGTCCTCCCGGCCGGCGCGCCTCAGTGCTCCCCGCTGGCCGCAGCCGCGCACTGACCTAGCGAGCGTAAGTTGAGCTCCTCCGTGATCTTGGCCTCCCGGAGCAGCTCGTCCTGGGTCAGGGGCCGCTCGCAGTGGGGCCCCTTCCGCCGCCTTGACTGGCCCTGCCGCTCCTGCACGCGCAGGAACGTCTGCCGCGTGTGCTCCGCCGTGGACTGACGCATGGACTTCCGGCCTGGAGGGGGGCGCGGGGAGGCCGAGTCCGCGCGGGCCGCCGAGACGAGCATCATTCTACAACTTTACTCAGCAGCCACTTCAAACGTCCACACGCCGTTGCGGAATACAACGACCACCCTGGCGCCCCGACCCGGCCCGGCGGCCGAGGACACCGCCGCCTCGCGGGCAGTCTTTCCTGACCGCGAGGGGCTGCCTGGCCCCGGGTGGTCTGCGCCCCAGCGCCGCGGGGCGCATCCGTGAGAGCAAGGTTCCCTCGTGCCCCGCAGGGAGGCACCGACCGCGGCGAGCAGAGGCCTCCGCCAGCCGCCGGCCCAGCCGCCCGAGGCCGCCCCACTCACTGTCGGCGCCGTCTTCCTGCAGCCCCAGCGGCAGCAGCGCCTTCTCCTCTCGGGCCTTCTGAGAGCCGCCGGCGGGGGCGCTGGCCTTCCGCGGCCTCAGGCTCTTGAGGGGCTCCTGGGGGCAGAAGAGATGGAGGAGAAAGAGGACGAGCAGCGGGAGGCCGACCAGGGCCAGGCGGGGGCCGGGGCGGGTGCAGGCCGAGGAAGCACGGGCAGGCCGGAGCCCCCCGCCCTCCGCACCTTATAGGCTTTGGTGACCACCCGGCGCTTCCGCCGCGGCTCTTCGGCTTCCCCGTCACTGGATGGCTCGTCCCCCTCGTCGATGTCAAAGTCAGAGTCCACCTCGTCCTCTGTGTCCGACTGGTCCCCTTGGTACTCGTCATCTCCCGACTCCTGAGGACACGGGACACGGGTTCTCGCCGGCAGCAGGCCCCTGTGGGGCGGAGGCCTCGCCGCCCACGCTCCCTCCCGCCCAGCTTCACTCTCCAGGCGGGAGGTCTCCTGCCCAGCACCGATGGCCAGCAGTGCGACGGCCAGTGCTGGGCGCGAGTGGTGCAGCCAGGTCTTTACCTTCACGGGTGCGGTCTGACAGACACGTCACCGTGGTAAAAGGCAGCCTGGCATGCGGCGACATTAAGGGGCCAGAGGCGAGCCAACGTCGCGGCGTCAGAGGAAGGACTGGCCGCGGGCGGGCGTCTGGGAAGGCCCGTGCTGCGGGCTGCACCCCTAGACCAGGCGCCAAGCGGCTCTGTGAAGGACGGGACGGAACAGGGAGCGGGCAGGCGGGGCCAGCGTGTTCCAGTTTGGTAAATGCTGTTCTACACTGTGAGGAAGACGTGAGCATGGCTCGGAGTACTGGCAGCGCCTGGACAGCCCGGAGGGGCAGGGCCTCCCAGCGGTGGGGACGAAGGTGCGGAAGCGCGTCCATGAAGCAGGGCTGGGGCCCCAAGCCGCAGACGGCTTCCTGGCACTGCGCTCTCCCAGCTGACTGCTGGGCGCCTCCTTGCAGACCCCACCAGCTGCCTTGCAGGGCTGTGCACCTGCAGAGGTCGCCTCCGGCCTGGAGAGAACCGGAGCGCAGGCGGCAACCTTGTGCCTTCACCCTGCAGGCCAGTGACCCTTCTCTCTCCTCACTGTCCCCAGCACGGGTAATCACTGCTGAGGTGACCTCAAGGTACCAAGAAATGGCTTCTCAGCGAGGCCAGAGAAACAGCTGGGTATTGACACTATCCACACAGCGGGGACGCAGCGAGGATTCGGGGAGAGGAAAACGCAGAGCTGTATCTCAGCGCTCTGGGCAGCTTTTGGGCTGGAGCAGGGCTGCGGTGTCCTGCCTGAATGTGGGGTGATTCAGGCTGGGTCGAAAATGGCAGCCACGGTGGGAAGGGAAGGAGAAAGCAAACACTAGGGAGAGAGGAGTTAACCGGCAGGGCAGCACCTCAAACCCGCGGTCATCTCTTCACCAGTGATGCGGACTAAGGGGCTAAGCGCGGCCAGTGCGCTGCCTGAGTGAGCCAGCAGCACAGCAGCTGCACCCGAGCCGTCACAGATCTGTCTGTGCACGGACGCCCAGCACGACGGTGACAGCAGTCGGAGCACAGTCTCCGCTCGGCTAACCGGCACCGAGCCCTAGCTCCACAGGGCACTAGCTCAGCCACAGGTCAGCCTGGTGCCCAGCTGAAATGCTTTCGTTTACCGTCACTCCGTTACCGAGGGCCGTAAACAGACATGACCGGGCGAGAAACGTCTACATCATCTGCCAAGCGCTATCTTCATGTGTTTTATGGAAGGATGTAACTCGCCCTAGGATTGAATGCTGCGTAAGTATTTCTTAAGGCATACATACACTTCTTTTTTACTGAAGAGAGAAATTCGGGTTTGGCTGCCAGGAAGCTCACGGCTAAATTTACTATCAGCTGCCATCACCACTTCAGCAGGGAGGCTCCAGGCGCAATTACTTCTGATCTGTCTATTTTTACTGCTCCTACTTTTTGCTTATATTGTAAGCCTCTTTAAATCCTTTTTGGAGGCACGCAGGGTACATATTAAGTAACCGCTCATAAAATGACAGGAATAGGAAAATGGCCTTTGCAGGAGAGGCAAGAAGGTTCTATTTTAAAGCAGCAGGGTAGGGCTGTGTAAATAACTCCCACTCGGGCCCCAAATCCTGTGGGTTCCGTTTTAATCTCTCTGCAACTCTCCACTTCTGGACCCCACCGCCGGCTGCCGACCCTCCTCCTTACAGTGGCCTCTCTAAGGCCCAGCTTCGACTACGGCACTTCAGTAGGCCTCAGTCCGCCAATGCTGGGCCAAACTCCTTACCATGGCTGACAAGGCCCTATCTGACCTCTTCCGGTCTTAACAACTTTTACTTTCCTTCACTGTCTGGAGGGGGACAGAAGACGACACCCTTCCAGACCAGGATTTTTCTGCCACCTCTTCTCCCTTTCCCGTGCTACTGATCTTCACCCCGCTAACGTCTACTTTCCATACTGCCCCCCAGGGATGCCCCTCCCACCAGCTCTGGCTCCCACGTGTCACACAGCCCCTCAGCAACCACTCGTTTTACTCCTGATCATGCATTTTAACGGTGGACCCTGCACTGACGTGTGTAGTATGGAAGGGAAACACAACCCAGGCACTGGAGATGCTACCGCTGCACCAACAGTCACCCTAGCATCATTACATGCAACAGGAATAAACACGCAGGCCGCACGGGAAATGCAATAAACAGCGACACTTGTCGGACGGTCAGGGCACGCTGCCTCGGGAGCGGACAGCCAGGCCGGCGCTCCCAGGCCTCTGCTCCCCAGACGTCCCCGGTCTACTGCAGTGAATAAAGCGGCTGCGGGTCGGCGCGGCCCCAGCGCGCCTGCGAGGCGCCTGCCGAGGCCGGAGTGCGGCCAGGCTCCCTGCCGCTGGGCGCCCCGACGAGTGCCCCCCCCGGGCCGCCCAAGGCCCCAGCCGGCCCACCCGCCCGAGGACCGGCCGCCAGCGCCCCTCCTCGCGCCCCTCTTTGTCCGCGGTTTCTCCCTCGGGGACCGCGCTCAGCCTCCTCCCCTCCCCGCCCAGGCCCGTCTCTTGCCTCCGTGAAACCCCCATAGGTCGTCTGGTAGAACTCATCCTCCTCCTCCGCCTCCAGGAGCCCCGAAAGCCGGTTCCCCGCGGTCTTCCGGGGGGCCCGGCCCCCAGCCAAGCTCATGACGCCCACCAGCAGCCGCCGCTCGGCCCGCGCGGTCCCGGAGCTCGGCGCTCCACACCGCCACCTGCGCCGGCGCCGGAAGTCC